GGAGACGCCGCCCCGCCCCCCCCCCCCCGAAAAAGTTAAGACCACAGTAGTTGTCTCTTTCAGAGGCATTAAAAAGCACTGCAGCATATTTGACTAATAACAAAGACAATTATGTCCCACTAGAAACAGTTCATGTGAAATACATTTTGAAGAGAATTTCACATTGTAATTGAAATTTTAAGCAATTGTTCTATTTTTTAGTATTGTAATACAAATTATTGTCCACTTACTAGAAATGTAATGCATTTTGTTGGAATAAGAGGAAGAACACAAGTTTCCTGTACCAATTGATCCTAGAAATAAAGTATATAGTTTTATTCTATCTCTAGGATATGAATCCTGTAAAGGTAGTATTTATTAATTTTGCTTTTTAAGAATGATAACACTTAAATGATGCAACTTAATTGCAGAACCTGGGAGGTAGTTTTTCCAAGAGGCCCAAAAGCTAATACAGCTTATTTTATACATCTAAGGAACTGTAGTCATGGACACAACGATGCTAGATGCTGACAAACCCAACTCAAGCCAGGTGTCGTACTCTAAACAGCAAAAAACTTCTGCAGCAAAACCACAAAGAACAAGAAAACTGTCAGCTTTAATGAATATACACATTAGTGCTCCCAGCATCTCCATTCAGTGGAAGCTGCTGCCACAGCAACAGGACATTTCCCTCTAGATTACACAATTTTGTAAGGGATGTGGAAGTCTTGGTCAGAATTTTCACCGTATTTAAATTTATTTTTTTTTTCCCCCCTACTCCTTCAGTTTTAGGAGGGGTATGATCTACTTCAAGATATTACAAGAATCACATTATTTCGACCTATTGTCTCAAGCAGGCCTATATAAAAAAGAAGAACGGGAAGTGTTCCACTTTTTTTTTTTTTTTTAAGAGTTGCTTTCTTTTTGTCTACTCACATGCAACATGTCATTTGTAATTCCTGCTTCTTTTACATACTAGCAGATCTAAGAAATATTTAAGAACTAAAAAAATACCTATTTTGAAATATGATTAATTTTCAAATAAACTGCTTCGATATCTAGTTTTAAAACAAAGAGAATGCAAGACAAAACTACGTCTCACTGGAGACTGTGTAAGACACTACAAAATTCAGCAAAAAATAAACCAAACTAAATGAGCAGCTGAGTATGCTGAATAAGAAGGGCTAGTAGGACGTTACAATAAACATGCTGCAACTTTGAAAGTCTCCCTTGATGCTGTTTTTGACCAATTTATCCTCCCCGGGATTTGTTTCTGATTTGTTTCTGTTTCACACAAAATCTCTCTACTCTCACTGAAGCCATTGAAACAATTAGTAAATTAAGCCAGTACTGCCTGTAACTGCCATTTACTCATCAAGATTAAGCAGGTTTTGAAGGAAAGAGAATAAGGGGAAGAGATTATTATCCTACCTTTCTCTCATTAGATATACTACAAAGCACAGACTTCTTCAATCTCAACACAACTATTTTTATTTCTGTACTCATCTTGGAGTAGAACGATAATCTTTAAACTTTCTGAATTCACATGCAGCAACATTTACTCCAGAAATTAGTTCCTGAAGTACTATAACACACAAAGATTCAAACACATTTAGCTGATGCTGGAAGTTTGCAGCTCATGATAATGGCGGTTCACACTTCATCTGTTCCCACTCAATCCTAGTTTAGTAATTGACACCTTCTCCTCTCTTCAGTGTATTCAAACTGCTTTACAGTCCATTTTTGTGACTACCTTACCTTTTGTCCATTGGACATTGGGTTAAATGCAAGTTCTATCCCAAATCATCAAATTTCCTCTATAATGCTAAACAACACACTTATTTTTGCAGACCTCTAACTCCTTCACTATAGATGGGATAGTCAAGGCTATTAATGTGGGTGAAATTCCTTGATCTTCAGAAAGAAGGCAGGATTAGCAATACAGGCTTAACATTTTGAGTTCTTGTGGCAGGACAAAGTATCATACTGTCATATTCATTTATCGCCTACACTGCACATCTAAAATTGCAGAAACAATCCTGGATTTTAGGATATTCAGAGTGTCTACCCCATGTATGACAAATATAAAATGAGAGGTGTCAATTCAAAGCAGCAGTGAAAGCTTACTGCCTGAAGGGTGGAAATAGAAATAATTGTATCTTCTAAAATTCTCTCTGACCAGGTTTAGAAGGGACAGCAAGTGGTTACTTTAAACATTAACAAGTAAGCAAAAGGAAGCAGCAAAGGGGTAACCAGTACAAGAAATCTTCACAGCTTCAAAGAAAATGCATTCTCTCCCTAGTGTCTCTGTAGAAACAGCCTAGCCTAAACAAAACATCAAATGCAAATTCCATACTTGCCAGCAGGTAGCAAAGGGAATACCGGTCTTTTTGTGCAACAGTGTGTACTACAGTTGTACATACGGGTGGCCAAACAAAAATATCCTTATGTGTATGCATTTAGGCAACGTTTGTTTATTAAGCATACAAGTTATCCTGCCTCATGTTACAAATATCCTTATGTGTATGCATTTAGGCAACATTTGTTTATTAAGCATACAATTTATCCTGCCTCATGTTACTCCAGCTTAGAAACATTTGAAGACTTTGCTAGCAGTTTTGTAGAACACGAGGGTGATAAATGCATGGTTATTTTGCCCAATAGCAAGGTTATCAGTAAAGGGATCCTCAACTTCTTTTTAAGGAGAGCTGTGAAACCTTTTGTTTAATTTTACCAGCAACTCAACACATCCCTGCAAACAGTTAACCCTAGCAGGTTCAGGTAAACAAGACTTACAGCCAACTTTTCAAACCTGTATCTTAAACATTTGATCTTTTGGACTTCCTGTAGTATAGTGATGACAGGTAATTTGTGACCAATCCACACCCAGTTTTCATTAGCATAACACCTGTAAAGGTTCAACTCTCTGCACATCAAATGATACAAAATAAAAAGAACATTTTTGAACTGACAGTCCCAATGCTGCCACACAGAAACCCCTACTGATAAGTAAACCATTTCAAAGTGGTGGACGGCCCAGTATACAAAGACCAGTAACAATGACAGTTGTAGCAAGACGAAAAGTCTACAAACCGTTCCAAATACAAGGAGGCAAGATGGGGGACCAAAAACAATGCAAATGAGGAGAGACAAGACAGTAAATGAAGGAGGGTGTGGTGGATAACACCACAGCCTGATAGTTTTACAACCATCGGCAATGCTGACCTAAGTATTTTTATGCTGATATCACTATCAGGAATGGAGGCACAGCATGAAAAACATTAACAACTACGTTTGCAGTACTATATAATCCAAATTAACATGCTATTATTTCCTATGAATTTGGGAATGACTCACAAATCAATATTCCCGGGCACTAGAGAGAATGCAAGGAAAGGCCAAGAGTTTCATAAACTTTACATTGTTGGGTTTCTTGTAATTTTAATTGTAAGGAGAGGAGACTTTTATGTTAGTTAGATCCATGAAGACTGTTAGCAGCTCAAGAACGCAACTGCAACATCTTATCACAACATATTATTTACCTTCATACTACACTTAAACTAGTAACAGTGAAAAAAAAAAAGCCCCACAAAATCCTTTGCACTTACCTATATATATTCCATGTTGCTACTGGCAAATTAAGGAGAAAGATGAACCAGTGCAATGAAATAAGCATTAATACAGTTACAACAGCATGGCCAATCACTTCAGGGACCACCCACTGTAAAAAGGGAAGAAAAGAAAAGAGTTATATGCACAAATGTAAATTCCTTTCAGAAAAAGAGATCTATATGGAGTTATAATCTAATTCTAATCATGTAATACTCAGACAGAAAATTCACAGCAGAATCATGCGATTTCATCACAATGTGGAGAAATTAATACCTTATGATAGATTCCATACAAGTAAGCCAGAAATCAGACGCTAAGATATTACCACAGAGGTACTTCATCCAAGTATTACAAAAATTTCTAAAGAAGCACAGCAGCTGTTTGAACAAAACTATATTACACATGCACTTAAGAAAGAGCATTAAGAAAGTATACAGTGCTTGTCGCAGCTGTTTGAACAAAACTATATTACACAAGCACTTAAGAAAGAGCATTAAGAAAATATACAGTGCTTGTTTGAAATCACTGCAGTGGATTTAGGAATGAGAGAAGCAGATAATTGAAATCTGCACAGACACAGGACATAAAAGCACCCTCAGGCTTGGAACAGATAAGAAAGTTGATCAATATCAAAACTGGCAGTTAATTGGGTCAGCCCCTGGCAGTAACACATTTTTGGCTCGATAGTATCCCATAGCATTCTCTCTTACATTAAGAAAGAAAATACCTTTAAATTAAAGTGAATACCCATGCAGGAAGGCCACATTGATTTAATTAAATCAGTTTGCAGCAGACTTGGTTAAAACAGTACTTTTCCTTATCACAGTAAAACTCTCTATTGTTCAAGAGAGGTTAGAAGTTATATAGAAGCATCACAGAAAGTTGCTATAAAAATCTCAGAGTTCAGTCATGAGTAGACATCCTCGGTGCGGCACACCTACAAAAACGAAAGCACAGAACTCGAGCTCTGTGAAGAGTTAAGTCTCAGTCCCACGAATTGAGAGTAGCAGCCCATCTCAGAGCACCACGGGTCAGAACAGCCTTTTGTGACTGAATTTGGTGAAAGACAGGTATCCAAAAAAGGCAAGCAGACTGAAATAAAGGATACATGCAAAATACTGCCAGTCAAGGCTCTTTAGATATACATTACACCCCTGTTATTTGTGATACCAAGATGAAGGACCGTTTTCTTAAAGCACATTAAATGCAAAGAAGAATAATTTACTTTATTGAGTTTTGAGCAGCACGATCTAGCGTTAATGTAGTCACATTCCAAATCTGATAGCGTAATTATCTGAAGTCCAAGATAAGGAAAAAATGTGTGGTGACTTGCAATACACAGAGCTTTATTTTTGTCCAGTAAGTTAGGGGGGGAGCACTCTGCTCTCAGTGTAGACTGTCTTATTCTACACCTGATCTGTCAAAAGCATATTTCAATTAGTTACAACTCATTCCTACTTTACATAGGAAGTTAGGCCACAGTTTATCATCAGGCCAAGGGATTTTATGATGGTTTTCCAAGGGCAACTGTTGCACAAGTGCTAAAGTTCAATTCAACACTTAAAATGGACCAGGTAGGCAAACATGATATTTTTAGTATCAGAGTCATTACTACAACACTTGAAACCAGAACTTAAAAGGAAGAAAAAATTAATATACTTTTTAAACTCTCCTCACAATAAAGCTAAATACTGCAGTTTTATGAAGTAGATCTACTTTTTTTTTTTTTTTTTA